GGCTGGGGGTGAAGGTGCCCTGGGGCTGCTTGGCTGGCGGTAGCATCTCTCCGGGCTCTGCTTGTAGGCTGTCCTTGCGGTCCAGAGCCTGCCCATCCACAGAGTCCGTCCGAATGGCCTCCTGGAAGGGGAGAGGAGAGAGATGGGGCGAGAGCCTGGGGATCTGCTGGGCCGGCAGCATGTTCAGGGGTGAAACACGGCACACGGCAGAACGGTTGGTGGGTCTAATGCACCCTGTCCCAGCCCTGTCCCATCGTGCCAGCCCCCGTCAGACCCTCCCCGTGCAAGAGTTTTGCTAGGGAGCAGAGCCTACGTGTACAGGGCTTGGATCCACGGGGTCTTTCTGCAGTCTTGATGTTGCTCTAGCACTAAATGCTGAGTAGCGCGCCCCGTCTAAAGTGACAGCCGGTAGCGCTGACTGCAGGCTTCTCACAGCACTGGTAAAACTGGATTGGGAACCTTCTTTCCATGCTTTAGCTATTCTTTCATAAAATAGTACAGTCACGAAGATGAAAGTAAGTAAAGAGGCCCTTCCCTGGTGTGTCCATTGCTGAGACCAGAATATATTAAAATTCACAGCACGGGAACGTTTTGTTCTAAAAAGGGAAACTCTACTTTTGGCTCCAAGCAATGAAACCCAAGAGGGGCTGGAAAAGAAGGGAAAGATCCAGGTGACTACAAAGGGCTCTTGGCCTCTCACCTGTCTGCACAGCAGCTTGTTGAGAGTAGGAGATCGAGGCGTGACGCTCGGGGGAAGGATCTTCCAGCGCTGGCGACCTTCGTGGTTGGGAGAGCGGCCAGCCAGCTGGAGCGACTCCGTTGGGACTCTCAGAGAGGAGCACGTTCCCACGGGCTGGGAGCGGATGGAGGTGATGGACCCTAGGAAACACAGACAGAGCTGTCACTGCCACCGCTGGCGTAGGGACTCTGAAGCTTTGGGGACAGACTCCAGGAGGTGAATAAAGGCAGGAGGGGAAGGAAAAGCCTGTCTAGTCTGGCTGAAATCCAAAGTGTCAGCGTAAGCCTTGGGCAGAATGAAAAACCAAGTGTCCCTTGTCCTGTCTCCGGCTTTGAATACTCAGCCATCTCTCATCAGGGACGGCTGGGAGGTTACAGATGAAGTCTCTGCCCGCTCTGGGATATCGACTGATACAAACTTGGTGCTCATGGCCCCTCTTTACTGTTTCACAGAATCCTAGAATGACTTAGGTTGGAAGGGACCTCAGGGATCATCTAACCCAACCCCCTGCCATGGGCAGGGATGCCCTTGACCAGCCCAGGTTGCTCAAAGCCTTGTCCAACCTGGCTTCAGGGAGGGGGCAGCCACAGCCTCTCTGGGCAATCTGTTCCAGAGTCTGGCCACCCTCGCACTGAACAATTTCTTCTAAGATCCAATCTAAACCTGTTCTCCTTCAACTTACTTAAATCCATTTACCCTTGTCCTATCACTGGACAGTTTCAGGTAACAGGAATCTTCTCCTGCAGCTGCTGGATGCTCAGGGTGGATGGCAGCCTCCAGGCCCACATGACAGCAAATGAAGGGCAGGAGGTGGGCTTGAAACCCGGCCATGGCTGCTTTCCTGGCAGCAGTGCTTCGGGTGCATTTGCAAGAGGAATTTTGCCCGTCTGGAGAACATGGATTGGGGAAGTCTGGAGTGAGGATGCCTGGGTTGTAGCTGCTGTGCTGCCGGGGACGGGCTTGCAACCTTATGCTTCTCTGCCACATGGGGACAAGAGCGGCACTGCCGGGCTCCTGGGAGCCTCTGGAGCCGACTCCAGAGCTCCAACCTCCAGCCTCGTGCAGCCCCACCCGGCGGGCCCCCTGCCACTGGCTTCTCCGGGAGCAGACATGGCTGGCACGCACAGGGCAGCTTTCCTGTTCCCTGCAGCCCAGACACTTGCACGACTGCCTGCGCACGAGGCAGACTGTGCCTGAACACAGTCCCACCGGCAGCGAGGAGACTGCTTCAAGTGCCCCGACATTCCCTGAGCTCATGCATCAGGCAGGAATCCCTCTCCTCCTGAACCTCCCAGTCCCTTGGCTGAGTCTAAAGGCATTCCCTCCTCTCCGGCCCCTTTGTGGTGCTGCTTTACTGTAGCTTTCTGTTATTTGAAAGTTCTTTTGCTTTTTTTATTTTTTTTGGCTGCAGGATTTATTGTCCTCATTAGCTTGAGACCCAACGTCTGTTTCTACATCGCTGCTCCATGTTAAAAACACAGCTATCCATCACTTCAAGAGATCTTGCCCAGAGGTCAGGGACCTTGAACCTATGACAAAAGCCATCCAGACAGATTGCAGTTGCATTTCACAAAGAGATTTGTTGTCAGGAAGAAAGAAAAGTTCGTGTTTAATCATTTTTCTTGTGGAGCTTTTCTCCAGAACACCACAGAAGCGGGAGAGCAGTGAGTTTCCTACCCCTCACCTCTTCTCCCTAGTTCATTTTTGGGCTCTCCTACAGCCAGAATTTCAGACCGAGTCTGTCTTTAGCTGTTCGTGTGCTAACCCAGGCTTTCTGAAAAGGTTTTTACGATGCAAAAAAACTTTGTCATAAAAAAATCTGTCACAAACGTGGTCATAAAATCAAAACCCTACGCTCTCCTCCCCTTCCTTAGTTAGAAATTCCTTCTGTTGGAAACTTTCCACCTAACTCTCATCTAGGAAACCAAAACCCCCTCCAAAGTGCATACTCAGGAACCCTGGATATCTCTGTGGTTGTGTATTTTTTTTCCTCCTGTTTTTCTAGTAAATCAGGAAACTGCATCTAAGACCAAAATAACACAAAATCTGGTCGCCTCACAGTATTTTCACTGTGTAGTCACCAAAGTGCTGAGACTGACACTGAGTAGCCCACCAAAGCACAAATGTTAACCTGAGTCTCCATGTGCTCAGTGTTACTCGCGCTTAACTTCTGGGCCTGTGACTTAAATCAGAGTTTGGTCAGCTCAGGAGCAGCAAAATTCTGGGTGATGCTGGTTGGACGCACCCCCCAGACCATGTAAAAAGTCACATCTATCACTCGAGTGCTCGTGGAGAGAAATTTGGAGACAAATATGGTCAGTTCTACCCACCCCGGCCAACATCACGGCAGTTTTACACTGATTTACACCCACTACAGGGATGAAAACCATCCCCAGTAGTCCAGCTGTGAAACTCAACCTCTGTTTTCTTTGCTTAGCAAAGAATTTGCAGGTGAAATAACAATAAATATCGAGCAGAGAACATTAACTGGGATCCAGAGAGTTTGAACAAATATAGAGTTACTTCACCCAAGGAAATCAGAGCAGATCTTGCCAGCCCTACCAGGGTTTGCAAACCCACTACTCATCCGTGCAAGCAGTTCTTGCCTTTCAAACCACGTTGCATCAAAGGAAAGCAGGCTGCTAGGTTCTTGGGAGCCACTCAAGAAGCACATGTGCTTTTAGGGAGGCAGAAATTTTCTTTCGTATTGATTTCCCCTTCTCGCGCAACAAAAGAGAGAGGCAGGCATTTTAGCAGAAATGTATTTGGACGCAGCTGGGTAAATGTATACTCAAAGGCTCTGACTGCGGAGTCTCTCCACAAGATTCATTACAGGGCCAGGCTAGGGAGGCACCGGAGAGTGGTTTCTAATCTTTATGCTCCCAAAGAAATGCCGTCATCTCTGAACTTAATGTACCGTGCCAAAGAGATACTGCCCTGAGACAAAACTGCCTGAAACAAGAGCTGCAAAGGAGCTCTGTCGGGAAGCAATGCCGACTCGGGGTTTTAGTCATGTTGATTTTATTGATTCACAGTCGTGATGTCAGGGCTGGTCACTTCAGAAGAGATGTGCAGCTCGTAGTCTTTTTCCTCAGCCTGTCCCCTACACCTTCCACACCGCTCGGGAGTCCCACTTTTCCCCAATCCAACACCCGAGCCATCAGTTTTCTCCTGAGAAAATGTGATAAAACCACACAATTAGGCGGCGCGTGGGAAATCTCAGTTGTGCTGATAGTATCGAACAGAAGAAAGGCAGCCCTGGCTCACCCCACGGGTTGCTCACTGCCCCTCTGACCACCACATGTGCTCTCTGCCCCGAGGTTTCAGTTAGCAGGAGGAATGGAAAAAGCTCCATGAGTGGTACCTCTTTGGGATTTGCAGGGATACGTTTCCATTTCCACCTCATGGAGGGGGAAAGGAGCTTTCGCTGGCATCACCGGCCGGAACATGTAGCTGTCGTTGGGCAAGGAGTGCATCCGGGAGACGGAGATCTTGCGGACCGTCAGCAGGTTGTGAGAGTCCTGTGGCCTCAGAGAGGCGGCGCCGCCCTGCAAAGCATGAAGACATTGGGGTCATTCGGCATCTTAGTGGCGAATTTACAGTAATCCCCTTCTCGCTGGCTTTTTGGGTTAAAACCTTGTGCATATGTTCCTCTCGGCATCTTACAGGGAGGTCACAGCCCCGCTGCCCGCAGCGGGACACCGAAGCTCCACCGTGAGAGCTGAGTAAAGAGCTCAAGTTGTGGCCGGAGTAAAACGAGGCATCAGTGACTCACCACTACGCTGACTCTTGGACACCACAGAGAAAAAGTAAACTCCAGGGAAATAGGGCCCACCTCCAAACACAGGGGGACGGCAGCGTTTCTCACACCGTTCTGCTCTGATTTTCAGCTGAGCCTGGGTCAGTGATGCCTCAAAGCTGCTGTGGGACCGATGGGCAAAAACAGCCGGTCCTCGGTCACGCTGCCTGAGGCTACCGAGTGTTTCTGGAAATCCTCATGTTACTATCTCCCCAAAACACACACACAGGCAGACATTTAAATGTACACATCAACACCACTGCAGACCCTGGGGTCTCTGCCCTACCACAGGGAGCATTTTCAGCCCCGCCGGCCCCAGAAGCAGCAGCCACGTGGCAGGAGGCAGAGGGAAGGAGCAACGCGTTGCAACGCGTACGTGGGTCTGGAGCCCGTTCTGGGGCAGAAACAGGATTTCTCTGTTTGCCCCAGACGGATCACGCTGCAGGTGCTCGGACAGAGCCTGTCACAAACCTTAAACTCACTCCCTGGCTGATTCTCTGAGGCTCTCTTCACTTCAGGCACCTCATAGGAAATCTATCCTAGGGTCTCAAGAGGCTTTGGGGACTCAGACAACGTCTCTGTGGTGCTGACAGAGCAGCCGTGAGATCTGGTGCCATGACTTGGCCAAGTGTTGGGGGAGCAGGAGTCCCTGGAACAGGACCTGCAACCTGGCTCCTGGCCCTGAGGTTTTGGTCCCAAACACATTCCCCTCACAATTTACCACATTATCTAAAGTACGACGAATCGCTCTGGTTTTCTTTTAATGTCAACCTCCCAGCGACTGATTGAAAACATTTTCCCAGCTGCATGTCTTAAATTAAATATATTTTGCTTTGCTCTGCTGGGCTGTTTTCCTTCTCCACTAGTAAAACCTGGGCCTGAGATCCCTCACTGGAGAGCTCAGAGGTCACTGATGATCTGGTTAAATCTGTTTTCTTTCCGTACGTTTCTGGCTTGCAAATCTATTCCCTCAGCTCCCTAAAGAGAAGCATCCCAAGACAAATTACTTGATGTTTTTACCCCGTTGAGCTTGGCTAAGAAGATGGTGGGGGGGTCATAAGGACTTGAAATACAAAACATGGAGAGGAAGCTTGTTGGCTCACACCTGGGCTGCTCTCGACAGCTCAAAAAGTTTGGAGACACATCACCATGGGCACTGCTGCTGCTCCTCTTCGGTGGGAAACACCTGATGCACTTGAGAGCCTGATCCCATGCCCTGGAAATCAGTGTGGTTCCCAAAAAAAACCCACGAAAAGCCCAACCTGGACCAGTGCTGCTGAGCCTGCGCACAGTGAACTCTGCCTGTAGGCACCCTGAGGGCTTGGGAGGATCCCAGGCATCTGACTGGGATGGAAACCTGCTTGCTGTGGGACTCCTCTCAGGCAATAAATTGACTGCAGAGATTTGACAATGCAGCTCAGAGGCTCAGTTAAGCATCTTTAATCAATGAGCACAACTCCCTCCTCTTGGTCTGGGAATCAATAGTCTGTTTGAGCTCTGATTTTATTCTGGTGCAGAGAGAGCTTGAGAGGAAATAATCCTGCAAATATCTCCATAGGACATGACCCTTCTTGGGTGATTGAGTGGGCAGAAGTTACTCTGTAAGCAAAGGTGACTGGCAGGATACTCTGGAAGAGGGAACCCTGTAACTTCTCAGAGGTCTGGAGCCAAGAGCCTGCAAACAAGCTGTGAGCAAAATTCTGAGAGGAAGGGCTCCTCTTGACCCCTCTCCGAAGGTGTGCGTGTTTGTCCAGCATAGTGAGTGAGTTTAGCCATTTCTTGCAGCCCCTGTGGTGGGAAAAGCAGAGGCAGAACAGGGGCAAGAGGTAATTCCCTGTCTGTTCTCTCCAAAGCTGCTGCCCCTGCACGGGCCGGCTCCGGTGGCATCCAGGGTCATGCTGCCGGTGCCTGTAGAGGTAACAAGCCCTCAGCTCTGCCAGCAGAAACCCAGGACCCCTTGCAGCTGCATTTACTAAGTCCCAGACTTTGCTTGTCCCTGAGAGATGCCTTCCCCACGAGCAACCTCTGAGGCTCTGCAGCTTCCAGGCGGCCAAGCTAACGGACACCCTGCAGAGCTTCGGAATTCCTCAAGGATTACACCTTCACATCACTCACCTCGCACAGGGAAAACCACTTGGTCATCAAGAGCTTAACCTGAGCCCAGAATTTGCTTGGAGATGCTATGCTGTGAGATCCTTGCCACTAGAAGACGCCTTGAAAGTCGTGACAGGAGTCAGGATCTACCAATGCCGTTGTTTCGTTAACACTGTTTCATATAGCAACAGTGAGAAAATCAATCTAGGCTGTGTTTGCTCCACAAAGAAAAGACTCTGCCTGCCTCCAGCTTGTTTGAAAACAGACTGCTCACACATCACACACCAAAGGCGAGACATTTTTTCGGCAAAAAAGAGTATTTCATTCGTGTCCGACACAAGGCTGCTGGCAGAGTTGTTTGGGACACGTTGTTTGCCCGGTTCCTGCACAGGCAAAGGCCAAGTACGAAGGACAGAGAATGGAAACGACTGTAGTGGCTGTGAAGAGACAGGTTTAGCACAACTCAGACACCACCGCGAGCTGCACAGCACCAAAGCACAACGCCACAACGCAGAAGCAACGGCACGGCGTCATTCACCTCAGCCTCGCGGCCTGGCCTTTTGTGGGAAGGTGTCAGGACATGGTGGGAAAGAGAGCAGAAGGATGAGATTTCCATGATGGGAGTCTCTGCCCCCTCCAGCATGTCGGTGTCTGGGATGGCTAAAGACACATTCTCACAGCTCAGCGCATCCTTCAAACCAGGGAGATAAAAAGCATCAGTAGCAGAGCAAGGCTGGGTCTTAATGCTCGAACACGTTTGCCCCGTAGCATTTCCTCATTGCCCCATTCATCCAGAGAGGGAAGGAAGAGAAAAGGGAACACGGGCTGCAAAAACCATCATAAAATGGCAAGAGCAGATGCCTGCCCAGCCCCGCAGCGGTGCCTCTGCCTCACGGACACCCAGGGGAGGGGGAGCCCGGCCTTGCAAATCCCTGTCCACGTTTCAGCGACCTCAAACGCAGGGGGAAACCTGTGGCCAGCTCCCTGCTCGCCCTGATCTCCCTCGGGGGAGCATCATCGCTCACTGGGGGTTTTCTAGGGCTAAGAGGTGGCTCTGCACAGCTCCTGATGTGCTTGGGAGGTGTTGGGAGAGGAGAAAAATGCAAGGAGAAAGAACTCAGTTTGCAGTCACAGCCTGTGTGAAAGGATGTGCCCTCTCTTCCCCCAATGAGAAAAGCAACCTGGGTGCTTACTGCGCTTTCCCCTGTAGAAATGTCTATTAGAAGCCACATTCAAATAGCAAATTCCCCATCGCTGTGTAACGAAATTCCTTTTTACTTGACTTAATAGAGTCTGATAGATTGTGTAAAAATCTAATTTAATGTAATTTAATCTCCAATCCCCCACTGATTTTACGGTAGATTTATTTGCGATCCCGGTGACAAAGCAATTTCTTATTCACTCTTAATCATATGCTGCTGACATGGGATGAAACAATTATCTCATGACTTTCCTTCCCCTCGACTTCTGATTGCCCTGTTTTTCTAGGGGACTAATAGAAATCAGAGAGCAGGCAGTGTCTAGCAAATGAACCCAGGAACCTCCAGCTTCTTGCTGATCCAACAGTTCCCAGGGTCCAAGCCAGCCAGGCCCTAAGCAGCGCACGAGCCAGGGGGAAGCTGTGTGCTCGCACCAGTGCCAGACAGGCCTCCTGAGCTGCACACTATGACTTGCTTGAGGCTCCTCTGGAAATCCCAACATGGGATTAAAAAGAACCTAAGCAGCGTAGCTGTGTCTGCGTGAAGGGAATTTATGCCCTCCCTTGCTGTGTGTGTCAGGTTTGACAGTGCCAGCATTCCCCAGGCTTTATGAGATTGCTCCCTGGTGCTGCTGCCCATGCTAAAATGACAAGGACTGATGCACTGACTGGGAGAGCAGGACAGCGACCTGTGGCTGTTATGGTTCTGAACTTAAAATTCACAGCCTTTGAATGAACGGGAAATGGGAAGAGATGGACTTTCAACGCAGCCCGCAACAACGGTCAGGGCAGCGTTAGCCGTGGAGCACGCATTTCGAGCAGCCTTCCACCTCAGGGAGCCCTCCCGAGATGACTCGAGGTGTGGAGGCGGTGGTGACATCTCTGCTGTGGCAGGACATGGGAGAGCTGCCTCCCTCCCACGCTGCCTCTTTGGCTCCAGGTCACTCGGGATCTGCCTGCCTGCTGCTCAGCCAGCAGCGACCGGGGAAATCCATCCCCTCCCTACTCTGAACGTGGGAGGAGCAGAGACTCTGTGTGAACGACTACCAGGGTTTGGTGCTTCACCTGCACTGCTGACTGCGACTTCGTGGCCTCCTGACTCCTGTAGGGTGCCCGGCTCTCTGGGGCCACTGCGCCGCCCCTGCTCCCACCGGTGGCCGAGGTGGTTGCTCCTCTGGACATCTCCAACTCGATCTCAGCATCCATCTCAGCATCCTCCTTGGCCTCCTTGTTGCTCTCCTCCAAGTGCTTCATCAGCACGGCCACCACCACATTGACTAGGACGAACTGCGCGATGAGGACGAAGGTGACGAAGTAGACAGGAGAGATAACAGGGAGGTAACTGAGGCAGTGCTTGTCCTCCCGCGTGCATTCCCGGAGCGTGTCCTGCAGCGCAGAGGGAGAGATGAGGGATTAATAAGTGCCGGGCCTCTGCTTGGGCTCCAAACACAGAAACATCAAAGACACCCTGCTGAGGACTGAAAAACATGTCCAAGACACAATGGCTTGTAGGTAACAACTAAAATAGTTAGAAGAAAAAATGGACACCGTGAACTACATCATCTACAAAGAGGAGGATTGTGTGACATCCCAAAGGCACAGGGTACAGAGTACATGGTCACTCCTCTCAGTCACAAGAACGGGAATGATTTGCCTGAAGTATTTTATATATATATATATATGCTAAAAAGAATAAAGTTTCAGGTTGGGTGAACCTTAGGGTAAATTATCACTTGAAAATACACTTGGCTTTTAAATGGGAAAATTTAATTTTGATGTTGGCAAAGAAAACCTTTTTTTTCTTCGCACAAGAGTTGCCTAAACTTGTTTGAAATCTCTGTCTACAGAGAGAAGCAAGTACTCAGACAGGAGCTGCACACACCTTCATGATACCATTCCAGTTGTCCCCCGTTGACACCCTGAAGAGGGTGAGGAAGGCCATGCCGAAGTTGGTGAAAGTTGCGTGCCGGCTCAGCCCTTCACAAGGATTTTCATCACTGCAGTCTGCAGGAGGGAGAAGCGGAAGCGCGGCAATGAAGCCACATTTGCCAGGGTTTATTCAGAGCATTTCCCCCCCCTCCCCTAACCTGGGGGTGAGCCCTTGAGACGTGTCACCCCGATCCCTGGTGTGAGGGAGGACTGCTGAGCTGTGATCTCAGGGTGGAGATCGACTGGAGGGCAGCTGTGGAGATCACGTGGCCAAACTCTTCCCAGTGGAGGCAGATCAGTGTCACACTGTCACAGTATGTTAGGGATTGGAAGGTACCTCAAAAGATCATCTAGTCCAATCCCCCTGCCAGAGCAGGAACTCCTGGATAATGTTACACAGGAACGCGTCCAGGCGGGTTTTGAATGTCTCCAGAGAAGGAGACTCCACAACCGCCCTGGGCAGCCTGCGCCAGGGCTCTGTCTCCCTCACTGAGAAGAAGTTTCTTCTCAAATTTAAGTGGAACCTCTTGTGTTCCAGCTTGATTCCATTACCCCTTGTCCTGTCATTGTTTGCCACCGAGAAGAGCCTGGCTCCATCCTCGTGACACTCCCCCTTACATATTTATAAACACTAATAAGGTCACCCCTCAGTCTCCTCTTCTCCAAACTAAAGAGCTCCAGCTCCCTCAGCCTTTCCTCATAAGGGAGATGCTCCACTCCCTTCATCATCTTGGTTGACTGTTCTGACAGAACAGACAGCGACACACTTTGGGCTTTAGGAGGTGCAGGCTGGCCACTAGGAAAATTGTTTTCATCTGGAGGGTCCAACAGCCCTGGGACAGGTCACCAGAGAGGTAGGGGAGCTCTGTCTTTGAAGTCTTCAAGATTTGGCTGGACAGAGCCACAGCGACCCTGAGCTAGCGATGGGGCTGAAGGGGCAGCCTCCAGAGGGCTCTTCTGTCGGCAGTTTTGGGATTCTCTCAACTTTACCCCGACAGGCACAGCCAATAGATCTAAAAGGAGGTGGAAAGAAGCAGACTTGCTGGGCTATGTCAACAAATACTGCCCCGCAGCATCCTTCGTCTGTTATCCTCCCGATTATGTCCTTGCCTTAATTATTTTTTACAGGGTACATCTACCATGAGGGATATTTCACTGAGATGAAGTGAGGCAATTTGACATTTTTCCCCTGAGAATTAATACACTAATGAATGTAAATCAAACTTACAAAATATCCCTCTTTCCATAACACACAGGCTCATTAAATATTCATTAGGGCAGGCAGAGAGACTTTGGTCTCTTGCGAGGCCATTTCACTATTAGATACTTATTTCAGAGGCAAATAGGAAGGTAAACCCAAAAAGGAAAAAAAATAAACCCACAAATGACCAGTTCTGGGGGAATACACAAAGGATTCAGAGCAGCAGAAGGTGTCTATGTGAATAAGGCATTTTTCACCTTCGTGGCTGAACAAATACATACCTACACATCTAGATATGTAATATAAATCCCACAGTATTTCATTTGGAGTGGATGCAGAACTGTTTTTTTAAATTTTTTTTCCCAGAATTTGTTGGAAGCTGAAAAATAATTTGTCTTTGGCTGAAAGAAATATTCTGCTTTCAGGCATTTGTAATCCGAGCAGAGAGCTGGACTCCTAACGGGGATTAATGACAGCCATAAAACCACTGTGGAGGAAGGGTCTGAGTGAGATGCAGACACTGAGAAGGCAGACACATCTCTGTCGAACTGCACATTTAAAGGCACTGACTGCTTGGTCTGGCTCTGCCAGGCAAGGTAGGGGTATAGTGTTCCCTCTCCAACTCCACCTGATTTTTTTCAGCGGGCACACTCATGACGAGCTATGCAGTATACTCAAGCTGGAGGAATAAATGGTGCTGGACAACCAGGAATGAGTGGATACTTTCTGATTTCTGTAGAAAAGGGAAGGTGATGCTGAGAAGAACAACAGACAAGGCTTGGGCAGCTGGAAGAGCAACGTTAGCCAAACGCCGAAAACTAATGGAGTGTGGTGGGAGCTCCAAGGAGGGACATGTTTATGGTGGCATTTCTCCAGCACGAATCTGACTTCCATCCAGCTTTGCATGCTCTGTCTTAAGCAGCAAACTTCCATCTTTGTGAACACATCCACGCTGGACAATTATATTTAAACAGCAAACAGTTCCTCTACAGCCAAGGGTGGTGTTGGACAAATCTCTAAATGTGTGTGTGCGCACATTAGCCAGGTTCTGTATTACATCCCCGCGTGTCATCTGTGACCCTGGGATCAAGAGAAAACTTTAATCTTCAGACCATGAGCTGTGAAGCCAAGGAAGGCCCAAGGATGAGAGAGAGAAGAAAGGAAACAGCTAGATACCAAATAAACATCAACCGGATGAAAGAAATTGTGGCAGGCACATTACTCACCTAGCTTGCCAAACAATTCCACTCCCAGGGCAGCATAGATAAAAAACAGGAGCATAAAAAGTAGGCCAAGGTTCCCTACCTACACAAGGAGAAAGCAGAACAAGGGTCAGGCAAGTTGAGGTCACAAATTAAACCGCTCCATCACATTTGAAACACAAGTGAAAGAGAGACTGGTGTCCAGAGGCTAATCACCATCTCCCCTGGCTTCCTACACCCTGCTCCTCTTCCACGGTCCTGCTTTAACAGACCCAGAGCAGACTCTCGTGTGAGATGCTCCCACGTGTAAAACAGTCGTGGTGGCTGGTACCTCTCCCTCGCCCCTCCGCTCGCCCGGGGCGCTGCCTTCAGCTGTGATTTGGCCAACCTGTAGCTCAGCAGCCCTCAGCGCTTCAGTGCAGCGGCAGCCAAGTGACCTGGTGCTCCTGTTTGAATTTTAAGGGCCTTTCTGTTTGCCAGGTTTGAAACTCCAAGCATGAAGCCTGAGGGTTTCAAGACAGCGACACGAACAAGACCTGTCTCAAGGCACAAGAGGACTTGCCGTGTTTTCAAAGGTGTCGCTGGCCTGGAGGGCTTTCAGAAAAAGGAACATATACTCCAGTAAAATGCAAAACACTCTTAGCCTTGCCACTTTACAGATATTTCTCAACAACAACTAACTGAATTTTAGTTTTCAGTGCCTCAAAAAGAACAGCCTTATTCCGTATCCCAACACTTAAAGGCAGGCACGTTGCAGATCCAAGGCGGAGCAGTGTGCTGCTGTCAGGCGTTCACGTGTGCTGCAGGGGGGCTGAAGGGGATGGTAACAGGAGTAAAATGATGCTAAAGGAACACAAAGCAACTTAATACGAGGGCGGCAAGACTCTGGAATAAATTGCCCAGAGATGTTGTGGCTGCCCCCTCCCTGGAGGTGTTCAAGGCCAGGTTGGACGGAGCCTTGAGCAGCCTGGTCTAGTTGAGAGGCGTCCCTGCCCATGACTGGGAGGTTGGATTAGATGATATCTAAGGTCCCTTCCAGCCCAGCCCAGTCTATGATTCTGTGAATCTATGATAATAGCAATATCATCAGAGTTATCTGCACCGGAGTCAACCACCACGTGGGATCAAAGCCTTTAAAACATCTCAGAGAGCAGATATTTTGTGATTCAGGCAGAGAATGTGAAGGGCAGAGTAACCCGACCAAGCAACCACCTGCACTTTACCTGCAAGTAACTCTGGTCACATTCACCTTTCCTGTCACTTTTAAATGCCTTGTGTTTAGCAGCTTGTAATGAGATAGAGCAATTGAGTACTCCAGTTAGACATGGTGTCATAGGCATCATTTTATCTCTAAATAAAAATAAACTAGGTGGTGATTAAGGTAGTCAGGCTGAGGGATTCACAATCTCCAAGCTATCTTCTAGCAAGTTCTTTAGTTTGAGAGAGCTTTCTCCTCTGAGCTGGCACAGCCACAGTGCTGTTGGGTATTTTGACCATGCTGCTAGAAAGGTTATCAGTATGATACTCGTTATCATAAAATTAACATGGCTATCACTTATGAAGCAGGGTGGTTTTTTTGGTATTAAATGGGAATAGTCAAATCACTCAGTGGAGGCTGTAATTGCTATAAAACCTAAACTGGCTACTACACAGAGCTTTGCAATTCCACTAACGTTATTACCATACTCCAGGGAATAATAGAGATAATACAGTGATGGGGATGGCTGGTCTGGATTATTTCATCTGCATGTATTGTCTTCTGGAATAACGTTTCCTAAGTCATGTTTGCTGGACCACTGATGGTTTATAAGACATTAGAAGGTAGGCTGCAAAACAACTGCAAATTAGAAAACACAAGAAAACAGGCACACGTGCAAGCGTACAGACACTGCCAGGGAGGCAAATGAGCAGATAATTAAAGAGAAGGAAAATAAAAGTTAGAAACAAGTCTTCTAGGTTGAGTGTATATTAAAGCCTGATGTTGTAGCACTGCAGAAGAAGGTCTTGGATTTTTTTCGAAGCAGTCATAAGCTGGATATTTTACTGCTGCTTTAATGCCTAATAACTCAGCCAGCAAACTTTTGACATTGACGAAACCCCAAAGAATTTAGACTAACATGAAACGTTATCAGTTAAAACTACTGTCTATCCCTCAACATGCAAAGCACATTACGAGCTGACATTCACTCATAAACAATTTGCCTACTATCTAGCGTGCATCTGTAAAAGATGATGTATTTAAGATTGTGAGTAATTACATTACTGAATGAACGTGTCTCAACAAGTCCTTCAAAGACCAGTTTACCCTCATGGGTTTGCTGTAGGCTCAAGACATCAGAGCCATAGGCATACTTCAAAAATGCTGAGAGGCTTGTTTGCCAACGTCGTGTTTGCCGCTGTCTAACGGTACCTCTGCCCTTGGCTGAGAGCAGGCACACGAGCAGTTTCAAAGCTCAGCTGATGCACAGGATCTCTTGGGAAAGGAGAAGGAGAAGAGGAGAAGGAGAGGGAGAGGGAGAGGAAAAAGGAAGGTCTTCTTCAGCCCATGGCTTCCACCAAGGCTTGAGCACAGAGAAGGACCCAAGGCATGGTCTTAGAGCTAGGCTGAGGTGGAAGCAGCGAGGTCAGCCAGTGGCTGCTGAGCAGCAGAGCAGGCAGACGGTATGTGTGTCTGTGACCCTGAGTCACTTCTCTCCTGTAACTCAAGGTACCCATTTGTAACACCCTGGTGGATATGCAATTAATGTCTCTAAAGCACTTTAAGATCCACTGAGACCAGACAAGAAAAAGATCATGCATGAATTATGTTGCTGGGAGGAACGAAAGCACATCCAGCCACTCTCCTCCAGCAGCCAAAGCCTGGGATGTCTGTGCTGGACTCTCCATCAGGGACAGATACCGAGCTCTGGTCAGCAACCTCAACTTTGGCAGCTGGTCACTCAAGCAAGCTCTGAGAAGTGGTTCTGCTCTAGTAGCACTGAGCAGGTCAGCCCATGCTCTGTTTATTCAGACTCCCCTGACTTGGGCTGGTGCCTCTGGCTGTGCAGAGGAAACTACAGATAACGCCTCTCTCTGGCAGCCAGGGGCAATCCATCTTTTGCTGTGGCTCCAGTGTTGAGAGGAGGCTGTGGCCTGTAGGGAGTGAAGCAGACATGAAGAACATCTTGGAGATGTTCTTGGTGCCCTAAGGTACTTCAGAGAAGACGGAGGCACTGGTGAGTATCTGTGATTCCTCCTGCACCTTCACCTTCTGGTGTCCTGGCTGTCATGTCCTGCTGGCAAGAGAGTCTGTGTGCCTGGGACAGAGGGGCAGAGTCCTCCATTCCACCCAGAAGAGCAGGGAGAGCCCGTATGAGGAGCTACCACACTTCACCATGGTGCATCCCAGCACAATCTGTGATCTACCGTTGCAAAAGGTCTAGATCCTGCTAATCTCTACCCTCCCTCCTCTGGGAGAGGTATTGATGAAATACGTGTCTTCTGCTGATCCATCCCCTGCAATGGCTGGCTGAAGTACACTACAGCTCCTCTTGTGCCTCTTCCTGCTCTGACATCAATTATTTCTGCATCACTGGCCCACACCTTGGCATTTCAGTTGTCCATGCAGGCAACACACAGCTCTCTGGGATGCCTGTCAAGAGCAATTTCTCATAAAACTACAGCCCTGCCAATCCTTTCCAAGGACACGAGTCCTCCTCATCTTCTACCCAGCACTCTCCAGGCAAACCAATAATCCTGGCAGCAGGAAAACACAGGCTAATTCATGCATCAGCCCCAAGAGAAAATGGACACATTTGTCTGCTTGGAAAACAGATGCCATCTGTGTGAATTCCAGGATTAGTGAAAAAGGCCAGACAGACAACCTCGGAGGCTAAAGCCATCTCATGGATGCAACCGCAAGGCCACAAGCTGAACCGAACAGGGTCCCCTTTCTGGGTATCCACTCAGTCCCAGTGCTAACAGCCAGCAGAACGCTAGTTTCCTTACCTAATGACTTCTGCTTCGTTACTTGGACCTCTCAAGCATCTCTGCATTTCTTTCCAGCGTGCAGCATGGTACACACATACCTCTCTTCCAAAATCTGCCTCATCTGGAGTGCTTGCTGGGAAGACTTTTCTATTCTTGCCCTCTGAGCTTCACAATCACCATGAGTTTTCAGCATCTGGCAGAAGAACACTATTGTTTCTGTCCTACAATCACTGCTACACAATGCCAGAAAACCTTTTCAAGAGCTGAGGTTGAGATAAGCACAGGAATTACAGCACCAAGAACAGTTAAACTCCTGGACAGGAGCAAACTACAGATTCTGTCCTTGAGGGCACTGATAGAATGAAGAGTTCTTCAATTTTTTCTTGGCACAGAGTCCATCTGGAGGCAGTTCCAAGCTTTAAAGACAAAGAGGAGATATACTGTAGAGTCCTGGATTTAATTAATGTATCATCCATGGACCAAGTGAGAAGGAAGAGGGAAAAAGAACCCAGATTTTACTATTATTGCTCCGGCAGAGCCAGGATGGCAATTGGACTGGATTCCACTTCATCCTCTCCGTGAGGAAGAGTACTTGCAGCTCAACGCTGACTGCAGGTTTTCTTACTGGCAATTTATACTGGAAGTGCTGTGCAGACTGAGCTGGGCTGCTCGGTCCGGGGGATTCACTTGCTCAATGAGCATTTGAACCCAGCCAAATGCAAAAGCATAAATCCAAGAGCAAAGTGCAAGCCATGCCATGGAAAGGGTGACTTGTACTTTGGAAAGCAGGGGATGGGAAAAGGACTAAGGGACTACCATCAAATAGGGGCCTTACAGAGCAGGCACTGCCTACAAGGCCAGTGTAGCCACCAGGTGTATAAGCAAGGGAATATTCAGCTGAAGCATAAGAGTTGTATAATTTGTTATATAGCCTTAATGGGGTCAGAACTCGTAAAGAAGAGGAAAACACTCAGAACAGGTCTTGAAAACCTGCTTCGTACTGAGAGGAGTCCAACATTCTTCTGTTTGCCAGAATGCAAGAGATTATTTTATCCCTTACTGCTCCAAAAAGGGGAAGTTCTAGAAGATAAAAAGCAAAATGACATCCAATGAAAAAACATACCTGGCTAATTCAGACTAACACCACCAGGTATTTTCAGCAGAGGGAGTAAACATCTACCAAAAGAATGTATTTCATCAGTAGGGGATGGCTGATTCCCTAACGCTTTGCATCCTTACAACAAGACCAGGTGCCTTTGAAAAGACATGCTGAAGTTCAGTGTGTTACGCTGAGCAGACCTCTGCGATCACGGAGGAGTTTTGGGTCTGTGAATGGCAGCACTGAACTGGCTTAATTAGGACTGGCTATATCCAGGTGATAAAGTCAGTGCTGCTCACATCAGTCCACCTCTTCTTAGCTGCTCAGTTTAAAGCAGCAGATCTGTTTCAGGTTTACACCAGTTTAGCTGGTTTTTAGGGCCACCTCCCTTCTCATTTTCTGAATTTCACTAGAGGATAAAACAGTATTCTTCTATGCACAAGATCTGCTTGGAATATCCCTGGGGTTTTCCCTTTAGAAGAGACTTTGGTTTGAAAGTAAACTGCAAAAACACTCCAAAGAAACAAAAAGCCTGGCCTGCAGCCACCCTATTGTTTGGGGGGAGAGAAAACAAGGGGGGAGAGAAAATATGCTCTGTACTCACAATGTTTTTGAAAGAAAAAAAAAATACACAAATCATATGCTTTCTTGAAATGCCAAAACAGGGGTCAGGTTGGTAAATTCCATGTTTTAGTCTCAGTCAAAATCCTTCACTGAAAAGGAAATCTGAATACCAAAAAGGCAAATGTCTCAGATTAGAAACATCTTTATGGCAGTGATGAAAAGAAAAGGGGTCTTTCCAAGAAAAAGAAATTCCTCTTGTTTTCCAGTTCATTTTGAACAGATCATGGCATTTCTTTGTACTTAGCGACTAACTCATAAGGGTATATTTGGGTAATTACATGTACCGGTTCTACCGATTCTCATACAGCCACTCATATCCTGGAAGAGATTCCTACACGGTGTCTGCTTTTGGCCAAGCCACAGTGCTGCCATCCTGCCTTTGAGATGTGATCCCTCTGCAGACCGACACGTGACTGCCCACCGCGGCGCGCTGCCATCCCCCTGTGCCTGTGGGGCTGGCAAAGGGGAATCCTGGCTCTCCCGAACCACCCCACTACGCTCCAAATCCATCCACTACACTGCCGCAGAGAAAGCTGATATCCTTCTCCTCCGGTGGCTTCTAGCGCCCACCAAACACAGCGCTGTCCCCAGGCTCAAAAGGCACCGTCCACCAAGGGAACAAACCGGGCATGGATGAACTCAGGGCACTTACCTGGGGAAGTGCTTGAACCACTGTGTCCAGGAGAGCTCGCATGCCGGTGGCCATTTTAAGCAGTTTCAACACTACAATGAGAATCAAATCCTGGTCAGCAGCAGGGCTGGGAAGTATTTCAAGCCAAACTGATAAAGGAAATCTAGCTTCAGATCTTGCAGGGGGGTTTTACATCTCTCTTGCATCTCTTCACAGACATGGCAAGCTCACTGCACCCTGGCAGGGCCCAGAGAACATCTGAACATCCTGACTACTTCCCACACCAATTAATGTTAAGGACATCAGTAAACCAGACCAAAAGCTGGAAGAACTCCAGAGTGTCCCAGCAGGAAAATGAGAGTGTGATGGGGAGACACTTCACCAGCGAAGAGCATCACCTCAGGCTCTGATCCTCCCTTCTCCACCGCTTCCTGCTGTTGTCTGGTATCAGTATAAAAGATCTGCGATCCCAGGTTTGAATTAAGAGACCAGCTTAAGATACCACTGGGAAAAACCAGGAAAGTCCACCTGGCTTCTCTCTGAATTGACATTTTGCAGCCTCATCATCTAACTGTTCTCGGGTTGAACTGAAATGGCAGGACTAGAAGACCAAGTGGCCAAACCACTTCCTGACGTGTCTGGAGGGATGGCTGGGAGCAGGTTGTACCTCTTGCTATTCTCAGCACCCGCATGATGCGTATTATCGTGGGATTGATGGGCAGTGCAGCGTTCATCTCAATTTCCTCCAGCGTGATTCCCACAATTGATAAGAGAACTATGGCCAAATCCAGCTGATTCCACCTAACAGACAAGGAGAGGAAGGAAAAGAAACAATAAAATAATCATGCTTGGACAGGCACTCAAGAGTAGGGAATGATCTGTCAACAACAAGCACAAGCGTACACCTTCCCTCTCCCGTATAGGGGGCCAGGATCTTCGGTGTGGTATGAAATCAACTCCCTGCAGGTGGCACAGCCTCTGAGCCACAGGCTGCTGTAGGCTGTGACTGGGAAGTGTCCCTGCCCCCTTCCCATTCCCTCAAGTCTCCCTGCCATCCACTTGGAGCCACCCGGAGAGCTAGAGGGACCTCTGATGTGATGCAATACAGCTGCTCCCTTGTTCTATCACCTCCTCTCTTGAATTACTCTACTTGAGTATCTTCATTGACTTACAGCCCAGCACGACAAAGACAGTAAGAGGTGAAGCAATCGAGTGTCTTTTCTATGCAGTTTCCCTCATAAATGATACTGCTCATAGCAGCTTCCAACCACTCTGTCAGGACAAATGAAGCAAATGAGCTGATCTTGTGGAAAAGCATCCAATCTCACCCTGCTCCCCAGCAAGTCACCAGACCACAACGTGCTTTTATACACAGTTGCTTCTGGCCTAAATGTGAGGCAGAATAAGCTCTGTAGGGATTTGAAGGCAGTGGGGCTGAACACAACTACTTCTGTCTTTGCCAAAGGCTTTACAAAGCCAGCACTCAACCAAAGGACTGGTTTGGACTGCAAAGGAGACTTCTTCTGAGGAACTCTGAGACCTTACGTTGCTAAAACTACTCTTTTGAGGACTGGATTGGTGTCAACAGATCATTTCTGACCTCTAAGTTGACTCGGTCAGACTTGGTGGAGAGGCAGGTACCAGGGGAAAAAAAAAAGTAGCTAAAATTTAGTAAGATTTCCTGAATTTCTTCTGCAAAACAGTACCAGCAGTTCTTAGAATTTTTAGTTCCTACACTATAAAGTTGCACCCATGGAGAGAAAGTCCTTTGCTCTTTCTTGCACACAGCATGTAGTACAATCATAGCAACGCTACATTTACGCAGTACCTGGCTTTGAAACTGGGTCGACACAGCTCTCTCCCAAACGCACAGGAGCTTCAAAGACTCTCACCTGTCCTTAAAGAACCTTCGAAAACCAAACGCCACCAACTTCAGAACCGCTTCGAACACAAAGACGATGGTGAACACATAGTTGCAGTACTTCAGGGCTTCGTCCAGGGACTGAAAAGAGAGACACCAGTTAGACCAGTCCAAGCTATCCTCTCGTAGAGCCCCTGCCCTGGCAGGCACAAGGGTGACATAGGCACAGAGATGCAAGAAGTAAAGTCCTATTCGCTTGCAAAGCTCAGTTACAAAACTGCCCTAAATCACACAGCAAAACTCAAACAAAGGATTAGACGCTGATGCAAACAAAACCCTCTCAAGCATTAATACTGGTTGTGCTAAAAATGACAAGAGCTCTCAATCCTTCAGCTTCAACGCATAAATTGTCCAGCATTTGGGACCGAGAGAAATTTTGCCCCTTCCCCTAATAAACT